CAGAGGAGGTGGCAAAGAAGGTGAGGGGGTGGGGACAGAAAGTGGAAATGAAAGCAGACAACAGAACATTGCTAGAGATCAGGAAAGGATGTGAAAGGAGACAATTTTAGAGAAGAAAATTTTTTGGTCGCTACCCGGAATCGAACCCGGGACCTTTGAATGAGAGGCCAACACCTTACCTCTAGGCCACGGGAGCCCCCAGAAAGAGAGAGAGAGTGTGTGTTTGTTATTATGATAAGATTAATTGATTCCCGTTATTTTCTCTCTGCGTCGGTTCCCAGGCTGACCCAGTGCAATACAGTAATTACTGTATACATTTTATGACCAGTCCCATCTTCTGAATCCCACCTTCTGTTTTCCATCTCTCACCTCATGTATCATCCTATTTTCCATATCCCATATCCCGACTTTAATTCTGTAAGGGCGCTTCGTTTTCCTTCATCTCACAGGATGAAACACTTGAAGCAGGCCAAAATATTAAATATACGTCACTGTTGTCACTGACTGAAACCGGCAGTGGACGCTTCCCCGAAACGAAGCTTTAGTGCCCTGAACGTAGCCTCAACATCCCAGCGCCTGAAAACTGCATTCAGGGTGCCGTGAACGTAGCCTGCCAACTACGTTCACATGCCATTAACGTAGCCTGCAGACTCACGGCGCCGTGAATGTAGCCATTACGAATATATTAATGTATAATAATTGATAATTAAGTTCAGCGTCTTTTTCACAGACTGCAAGCAGTTCTGCTTGTATTTGTATAGATCTATATATTGCATGCTTAAGGCTTTCCCGTTTCTAGATCTATATACTTTTGTTTTCGATGACATGACTTTTTTTTCAGAGGTATCACTCTTATAAAGATTTCCTTCTAATTTAATAATTGTTTGTTTGTTTTAGTAAGAGTTTTATGGCACTTAACTCCCAGCAGTTTTGCCTATTTTGGCTTTTTCATTTGTGCTACTTGGATCCTCCATGTCCCTCTAGCCTCTTGCAATAATCTATCTGCTCCTGATAGACATTTTTATATTACATACCAATGGAAAGGGAATTGGATGGTCTTTCAGACCTAGCCAATAGATTTCATTTTTGTCAAGTTGTCTTGAAGTGTGACCTATTTTTCTTGTTACTAAAAATAGAAACAAAAACAGAAATTCACACTTCTCCAACGTCACAAAGAAGAAAAAAAAGTGAGTATTTGGAGTTACATTTATTTCATGAAAAAGTACTCTCAATTCTGCACATTATGTGTCAAAGATACGCCATTCTGTTGGAAAATAAAGAAATGAGGGCCATTCTTCTAGTACTTCCTAAAATTCCCAGTTATTGTCCTTGAAGCTGGAAATTTCAAATCATGATTTTTTGCTCTCAAGCCTTTTGCTATAATCAATCTGTTCCTGATAGATATATATCATATATATGCCAATGGAAAGGGAATTGGATGGTCTGTCAGACCTGATCAATAGATTTTATATTTGTGCTTTCTTGAGGTGTGACATATTTTTCGTGTGACAAAAAATAGATGCAGAAACAAATCAGACTGCCCCAACAAGAATCGCAAAGAAAAAAAAAAATGTTTGACAATGTAGAGTTTACATTAATTTGATGAGAAAGTACATTCAATTTTGCATGTAATATGTCAAAGACACCTCATTCTGTTCGAAAATAAAGAAATGAAGGATGTTCTTGTGCCTTCTACAAATTCTCGGTTATTGCCCTTGAAACTGGAAATTTTACTTCGTACCAATTTTTATTATAAAACCGTCAATTTTAATTCTTATTTTATATTTTCTACTCAATGTAGTCATTTTTATATGATAAAAATACCTTACAAAATCTTTATTTATAAAGTAAAAGCATTTTATGTGTGAAAAACCATTTCTCCAGCCATCGTATGCGATATTGTATTGCATGAACTGCTGTTTGAAATATCAGTTGTAAATGACAAAATTGTTTCAATTTTGTTTGTCACAGTCGTCAGAGATATGTCTTGGGAGACAGTGCCATGCATCGGATGGCGAACTCCTCAGTGTTAGTATACGGTCTAGGAGGACTGGGAGTGGAAATAGGTAAGATGAGTTTATGTGATGAAAAGAAAATTTCATTGTTTATGTTTTGTCTGTACTATAAGCTTTGTATTTTAACCCTTCCTGCCCCATGTGCGTATATTTTCAGCAGCACTCCTTGTATCTCCCAATGTCCCAAGAGCCTATATTCTCTGCCGTACTCGAGCCGCCGCCTGTCCCAAGAGCGTATATTTTCGTTTTTGGGAGATACAGAATCTGCGCTTTTTTCGAAATAGCAGCAAACCTAATTAAGCTTTAATTTTCATAATCGTTATTATTTACCTTTAAACATTGTTTTATGTTATTATCTAAACCTCATAACAAAGACACGACGTCACTTTTTAGAATACATGTCTCTTTTTCTGAAATACTGCTGTATTGGCTGGGGCTGGGGTATGCTGTCTGCTGTATTTACCTGGGACTGAGGTTAGGGAGTCAGAAAAATGGCAGGGGTTGAAGAGTTGAATGTGCTTTGGGGATCCTGGTAACATAATCAGTTTTGCAGTCATTTTATCGTTAGAGTTCTCAAAGTCTGATTGTCTCAGTACTGTATCACTGTACTTTTATCCCATGTGTAATAAGAAATATAGGAAGGTATAAAACATAAAATAAATGGAATGTTTTTCACAGATATATTCTTTATTATTCACTTAATGTACCTCTGACGAGTTGACATCGTAGTCAGCTACAGAACTTTTTAAAAATGGCCCATGCTAATATATTCAGCTGTAGGCCTATTTACTTTGTGTTTAAGGATATAAATCGTGTAAAGAGAAGAGAAAATACAAATAGAAGAAAGATTTAATTACACTTATTTTGAAGTTAACCTGTTTTCATTTATGGAATATACAATGGAGTCTGCTTAAACCAAACAAGGTTAATCGAAAATCGTTGATAAACCGAAAGAAAATAGATCCTCATTTTTTTGTTCTTTGTCTTTGTAAGAAAACTATCGATTTGCTGAAATACACCTTTTCTATAAAGATAAAAAAGAATTGCATGGGTTATGCTGTTGAAATCTTCACGAGCAAGCTTCAAGTAGTGCAAATCATCAAGTCTTAAGTGCTTCAAGCTAGTGAACCAGAACAAAGAGACATGTGAATGCACCTGTGTCGATTGCAGACCAGAAAGAGACATCACCAGTGTACTGTTAGCCTACATTTATCACACACATCAATAAGCCTACACACTGTTGTTACTCGACAATTGCGAATCGTCACTGTGCTAGCAAAATGGCATGCGTCATTTTTGCTACTTTTGAGGTAACGTGAAAAAATTGTTTAACAAGACTATTTATCATGCAATAATGGTAAAACTTCCTGTGCATGTATCTTTTATGACTGACAGCACATTTTTGTTTTGATTTTACCAAAAGATAGATATGCCACCACCAAACAAAATAAAAGGCTAGCTGCATTTTGGCACACTTCTGATTTAAGCCATTTTTGCTAGCGCAGTGACCATATGTATGTCTATTGCGCAACCTTCAGTTGGTCAGCTAGTTTACATAGGCCCTACACATAAGCATGTAATGGCATGTGGTGTGTTTCATGATGTCTCTGGCTTTGGGCTGTCTCCCTTCTCTACTGTATGCTGATCTGCTCTTTCTTCTGTTCTGCGTGACTGTTCGGAAGGTTCAGCAAGCTGACGATGATGAAGACAAGAGCACAATGCACACAATGTGCAGCGCAAATTGAAGTTACTGAGAGAGGTAGAGATAAGAAAAAAATCTTCCAAGATGTGAAATTTCCACTAGCATGGCATTCTCAACTCTATGCTGTGGATAATTTACTCATCGTTATTTGAGCAGTCTCTCTACACGGAAAAAAATGAAAACCTGGCTGAACCAATAAATATTCGATAGTCCTGCAGATTTTGATTCAGCAGACTCCATTGTATATTAAAAATGTTTGAATATAACAGTCTAGCATGCATATAGTGAAATTGGTAAGACTCAAAAATCTTTTCATTTTATTTGTGAAGGTGGCTATGTACATGTCTTAAAATACAAAGAATATACACATATAAAAACAAGATTGGGGTATTGAAAATCTATTCTCTATGTGCATGATTTGCTGTGTGCTTGTTTGTATTAGAATGTATTTATAATTTTATAAGAATGTTTTCCTTCACTTAAACTTTGTGGGCATGTCCTATAACTTTGTTTTATTTTTTTATTTTCTCCAGCAAAGAATGTGGTTTTGGCTGGTGTCAAGGTAAGCCTTTGTTTGTGTGGTTATTAAATAGACTTCTGTTTTGTTTTATTGTTTTGTAAATTCTTCAATGATAAATTTCATAGTCATCAAAATGCCAATGCTTTCCTGCCCTACTTCAAAATATATTGCCTTCTTCCCTCATGTATGATAGATCCATGAGATGTAACTCTATGACTTTGTGATGGTTTAATTTCTGCCCCATTCAGAATTATTGTTCTTTGTGTTATTAATTCTATGCAGATTCGTTAATTTTACCCTTGCATAGAATTCACAACCTTTGTGCACCTGTCTGATTGTCAAAATGGAGTGAGATACATGACTAAATACACTTTTTTATTATACAGTCTCTAACAGTGCAAGATCCAAAGAATGCCACAATGCAAGATCTGGGTAGTCAGTTCTTTTTGAGGGAATCAGATGTTTCTGCCTCGAAAAACAGGTAAATACTTTATTTTCAATTTGCAAGTCAGACGCCTACTGCAATCATTATCATTTAAAAAATAATTGACAGGGTGTGAAGTGAGGAATAAATATATGGCTACTCATGCTCTTTTTGCAATAGACAGGGGAAACAGGTCAGTGAGCACAGGCTTACGTCTTGATTAACTCTTTGGATTCGGCTCACCACTCAAGTGGCGTTTTTGGTTCCACTTTGCACCGACTCGCCATTTAAGTGGTGTTTTATGGGTACCGATTTCGTCAACCCCAAGGTCTACACCTGGGGGCTCCCGTGGTCTTGATGTTATGGTGTTTGCCTCTCATTCAATAGGTCCCAGGTTCTACTACTGCTCCTTGGCTCCTTCTAACTGCTGTCTTTCAGTCACACCCATGATCGTAGTGTAGGTAAGATCTAACACCTAGCCTTCTCGGATAAGGGTGAAAAGTCTCGGAGGTCCTGTGTGCAAATTGCGCTCGTTAGAGATCCCTTTGTGGTCCAAAATCGATAAGAGTAGGCAACAGCCGCCACCCGGGCAAAATTCAAAATTAATTCCTACCAAACTAGAAATGTTTATAATGTGTCCTGGGCACTCACATGACCTTATGCAGTTGCGAGCATTGTAAAACACTTACCAAAACAAAAAACCAAACAAGATCTACATCTGATTCTGTGCTACATTTATAACCCTTTTTTACTATCTCCAGTTATAACTTTGTAAAATGTGTGCTGTCGATGCCTTTCAATGCTTTTGCTTTTGTCTTCTCCATACAAAACCTCAGGGCAGAAGCTAGTTCACCTCATCTAGCAGAGTTAAACCCTTATGTCAGTGTGATGACAATGACTCAACCCTTGACTTGTGATTCGGATTTGTCCTACCTGTCAATATACCAGGTAATTTTCACTGTAGCAGGCTTTTTTATGGTCTAAATAGTGTCCCACATTGCATGTGGGGATTGTTACGTAAGCTATTTTGATTGAATTTTTTGGTGCATGATAGCATTCGTTGGTTGATATGTTATTTGGTGTCAGTTAAATTGCAGAACATTATTCAATAAAAGATTTCGTTTTGTTGACCTTTGACAAAAGATGAAAATTTGTTCTTTCTCATCCAATGTTGTTTTTGTTCAGGAAAAGTCATTGATGCTATCAGTGTTAAATGAAAAGTTATTTATTGAAATTTTCTTTGCGGTATGATACTGTAATTAGTACTCTTTAGTAAATGTCCTATGTGAATGTGATATTGACATTTACTGATTCAGCTTTTCGTTTGGAAAGATAAATTTGAGATATTTGGAGAGAGCTGAGAGCAATGAAAGACTTGATTGAAGAATTGTCAACATATGTGTCCCCAGTGTGTGATCCTGACCGAGTGCCCCCTGAATGTGCAGAGAAGAGTTAATGAGTTTTGCAGAGCTGCATCACCACAAATCAAAGTAAGAGTTTCTCTGCTTGTCTTCTTTTGTGACTTCTGTGGTCCAAATCATTGTTTGCCAGATGTTTCTCAGTAGAAAAGCAGATATGTGCACTCAAATGGTAGTATTTAATTCCTTTTTGAAAATTTCAGAAGGATTCAGTCGAGGCAGATATAGGACAGAATCATGGGTATGATTATTGACCAAAAATAATAATGAGGACAGACTTTTTAGAATACTATAAATATTGGTGATGTAAGTCCACTGACATTCTGTAAGTCTCTTTTTTTACTTCAACACCATATTCATTTCTGTAGAAATTCTTTAGTAAAAAATGTAATTTTTTGCTGTTTTATTTTTATCCTCAATTAATTTGAAAATTAAACAACGGCTTTGGTTTGGTTAACATTTATACAGACTTCAACACACGCACACGTTAAGGACCAATTGCAAATTTGGCTAAAATTCCCTGAGGATTTCCGTGCTGCACATGGTGGTTTTGCCCCTTTAAGAGGCTTTGCAGTACGCATAGATAACCCGTTAACACTTTCAGAGCTAAATAATTTGAAACATTCCTTGCTGTCTATTTTTTTGGATTAAAAAAACCAGGGCTGTCTCTCAAGGTGGTCCTTAACTTATGTTGAGGTTTGTATATGCTTTGTTGTGATTCTTACATATTAATTTGAATTTCCTTTCTTTACAGTTCATCTCGACTGATGTGTATGGCATCTGTGGCTCAGCATTTACAGATTTTGGAGACAAGTTTGAGGTTGTTGATTCTACCGGTGAAGAGCCAAAAGATGTGCTGATTGGAAACATAACTAAGGTATTTTACATGTGATCGGAAAAATGCAAGTTTGGTTGAAAGAGGTTCTTGACTTTTTGTCCCCCGCAGTTTTATTAGTGCGCTAGTCTTGTGTATTTTTTAAGACACTATAAAGTGTAGTTCTTCAAGATTTGTTTAACTTTCTGTACACAGCCCTGATGAATTAAATTTAGAGATGCTCATAGCTATGCTTCCCAAAGAGTTTGAATTATTTTTTGAGGATAGGTTTTTAGTTTTTAATTTGATGCAAAGTATATCGGTAAACTATTTGTCAGTGCTCAATGCAATTTGTCCCTGTGATTGGTGTTTGCTTATTGTCATATTTTCTATTTAAAGCATCTCTTTACTTTTCCAAGAGTGCTGCAAACAAATGATAAAAGTTGGTTTTGTAGAAGGCTCATACTGTTTGCCTCGTCAAAAAATAGAAGATTAATTTCTTAACGTATAGATCTTTTTTTTCTTTTTTCTTTTAAGGCAAACCCAGGGGTGGTTACTGGCCTGGAGCAAGCTATACATGGTTTGGAGTCTGGAGATGTTGTGGCATTTCGAGAAGTGAAGGGAATGACAGCTGTCAATGGCCGTCAGTTTGAAGTAAAAGGTTTGTTCACTTTATTATTTCTCAAATTCTTTTGCTTCGATCAGTATTTTGTGGAGTACTTGTTGATTTCTTTTCTCTTTTTTATATACACAATTGAAGCAGCTCTATCAGCAGCCCGTCCAAGACAATCACCTGTACAAATGACCACTTCCCACTTCCTCCCTTGGGTTAAAAAAATATATAATGATACTGTCAAGGACGTCAACCTTTCTAAGACAACAAATTTTCTCCTTGACAACGGGTGGCCATCATGGACTATTTTAACTGTATTAATTTTTATTCTACAGCTGTAAATGTCTATTTTTTGTGTTTACTGTTATTCTCCTTTTTAAAAACTGTCTTAGCTAAAAAAAAAAGAAATGGTCTGAACCTATGGGATAAGAATGTTTTTATAAAGTAATGTTTGCTTGAAATAAATATAAATAATTCAAATTTGCAGTTTCAGTTCAGAGGACTTCAGTGAGTTTTTCATTGAAGTCTACTTCATAAAGAAAGATTTTTGTCCCCCATTGATTTCGCTGAAAAGTAACTGCAGGAAGCTACCATGGATAAAGATGAATGTTTAAAAATTGTTTCAGTTTTACAACACATGGCTGTTTTTTCGCCAGCAACTGTGGTGTAGTGGTTAGAGGCTTCGCCGTTGCAAGCAAAAGTCGTGAGTCTGATACCCTAGTGGGGAAGGTTTTTTTTTCTAATTGAATATCTCCATATGTCTGCTGGGACATTCTGTCCCTCTTATCCTTGGTGGCCCTGACAGGCAGGGAAGAAGCAGCCTACCTAAATGATGTGAATGGTATGTATCAATGGGGAAGTAAAACACCTACAGTTACTATTTCTTTTTTTAAAAATTTTCAACACTAAATATTTTTCATTATTAGTTTGTTGTTTTTTAAAATTTGAATGTTTCTTTTTCCTTACAGTCATAAACCCTTACACCTTCAGCATAGGTGATACGTCTTCAGCAGAGTTTGGGGAATATGAAAGTGGTGGAATGTTTGTTGAGGTTAAAATTACCAAGGAAATGTCGTTTGTGAGTATTCTTTATTTGGTGTTATGCTTGTTTTGAGGTCATGGGCATTGATATTTTTTTTTTAGATAGACTTTTATTTCCACCCGAAACAATAGTAGTTCTACCAGTAATGACTGCTTCAAAGTGTACAGGATCTATGGTGTTTTAATATCTGGATTATTTTCCATAATTGTTTGTAAAATAAATAAAGGCGAATTTGTCAGTTTGAAGTGTCTGATGTTTGAAGATGTAGCTTATGTAGCTTAGCTAGTTTTTTACCTGATTTTTTTTCTGTTATGGGATAGAGTTTGAAACAATGCACGTCGTTCCCAACCTTATAGGTCGTCAGTAGTTGGAATATTTGTCGTTTATGAAGGATGGCTTTTATGGAATGATTTCATGAGAAAAGAGTGAGAGTAAGGTCTGTTTGCATTGCCATGAAAGTCAAATTGTTTTTTTACACTAATTTTGTGAAAACTATTTTTCTCCAGGAGCCTTTGGAGAAACAGATTGCTGCGCCATCTCTCCTCACCCCTGATCTCACCAAATTTGATGTAAGTTAAATTCTTTTCATTGCTTCAATATGGAACTTTTCTGTAATATGTCTGCTTTTTTTTTTCAAAGATATGGATTGAACAGTTTGGTACTGTAGCTATCAATTTTTAAAGTTTATTGAGAATATGCAAGGAAAAAGTACTTGATGAAGGCAACAAGTCAAATATAGTACTTGGTTTTGATATGCTTTGAAATTTTCGGGAATCGTAGCATGGTTGATGTAAAGAAGATAAATATAGGGTTATTTAATTCTTTTTTGTTTTGTGATTGTTAAACTTTTCTGAGAACATAGTGACAGTGTGGTCCATTGACTGATTGTTTATTGTGGTTGTCATTTTTTTCAGGCTCCACCTTTGCTCCACTTGGGATACTTGACTCTAAGTCAGTTCATTGAGCAGACTGGCTCTATGCCTAAGCCATGGTTAGTATTTTGGGGGGATTATTTTTACATGCGAATGAACAGACCAGATTATATGGACGAAAATGATTTTTGTTTCGCCTTTTGTTTGATTTCTAACCTCAGCTGTTGTGGGCGTCAAGTGTACTACTCGAACCCATTCCTGCCCAGAGAGAAAGTCCTTGCCATGCTCTGCCAGTGTGAATCCCATGTAGACTCGCATGTTTGTTTCTGCCTTTGATTTTAAAAATGCCCAATGGCCGGAAAGCATCACTATAACTATTCCCCTGGTCCACTGAAACTGAGAATTTTATGCATATAGTGAAAATGAGAAAGTTGAAAAATCCAATGCTTTGAGTTTCTTAGAGAGAATGCTACCTGTTTAAACTTATTTATGACTTTGAAGTTCTGATTTGAATTTGTTCTCACTGCTAAATGAAAATAAGCCCCAAGCCTTGGCCATGAGAGTTTGTCACTTCTCCATGAGGGCAAGCAAAATGGCTCAAACTGGATATTTATATTCTGTACACATTATTGGCTGAAGAAACAAATCTACATTTGCTTTTGTATAAGAAGACACACACTGTAGAAAACTAACTGATTTAAGGGGATGTTTACTTCCCAAGCTACCCCACACATCTAATTGCCTCTACTCCTCAAGACAACAATTAGAACAAACATGCAACTATTACCGAATGGCATCATGCAGAAGAGTTAACGCTCAGATGCCACTGGATCACTAACAACAACAACAACAACATAAGAAGACACACTGTTTTTGTTGAAATTTTTGAAGTATAAATAAAAAGACTTTTTGTGTTTTCGATCGACAGGGACAATGAGGATGCCTTGAAGTTCATCGCCATGGCTAAGAGCATTAATGATAGCCTGAGCAACAAGGTATGAGATTGCGTTGTTTACTAATGATTCTTTCTACCTCGTGGGTTCAGTTAGTTGTTATAATATACTTTTTTTTGGCGAAATAGCAACCCTTTTTTCTTCTTGTTGTTAATACTCGTCCTGGTTTTTGGTGAAACGTGTTTACAAAAATAAAGAGAATACGGACAAGATGTAAGCTTCAGGTTGAAAATTTAGTTCTGGAACTCTTTAAGTTAATAAATTGTGCACAAAGTTTTGTCAGATGGGACATTTGTTCTCCTTACTTGTGTCCCTTAGGTAGAGAATGTGGACGAGAACATGTTGGGTCTCATCTCCAAGTGTGCGGCTGGCTGCTTGGCCCCACTGTGTGCTGTGTTTGGTGGGGTTGTGGCTCAGGAGGCGCTCAAGGCTTTGACTGGGAAGTTTACCCCTCTCAACCAGTGGGTGAGTCTTGCCAATGTGTATCTTTCTGGAAATAAGGCACAGTTTCTTCTCGGACTTTAGCTTTAGCCATAATGTAATAGTTAAAGCGCTTGTTTATAAATTGTATGTGTTCTTTCAGGACATTCATGCAACTTCAGATTACCTGTGTTTGCTTGTGTGTTTAGTCTAGCCTACTGTCTCTGTATCCGGTAGAGGACACTCAATATTGAGGCTTTTTATATACAGGCTGCAATCATTTACCTAGTTCCACAAATAGTGTTATAGAGTTTTGCCTGTCATTGGGTCTCATCTCCGAGGCAGGTCTATAGGAGTATTTTTGGGAAAGAGCTTTTTCAATTTTTGTTAATGATTTAAATTTTTGGTGTATAAGTGACACAGTGCATAACGTCCTGCTTGGCAAACTCTATCTAAAAACGGGAGCCTTGTGGTTTTCTTGCATAAAATGTAAAAAGGTGTTAAAAAAACCTTCTAGAAAAGGTGGCTGCAGTACATGAACAGTAATTTGTAATCAGAAAGAGTTAAGTGTTAAATGGAGAGTTACAAACAAGTGATGAAAATGGTGTCCCCATAATCTCAGAAATCCCAGTCTCCGCAATTCCCTCAGCCCATAAGAACATTGGGTATTTTTAGCAAGTTATATCATCTTGATATAGGTTTTTGTTAAACTATCTGTTACTCATACTTTCAGCTACTCTTGGACTGCAGAGAAGTTGTGTCATCTGATGCTAGTCAATTCAAACCGTGGTGAGTGAGTTCTGCTGACATAAGTGTCTCATTAAAATTGTATCTTTCTTATATTTGCTTGTGAAAGAGAAATCCTATGGTAAATGTATAATCTGTAAGTCTAAACAGAACTGTGAAAATGTCATGCTGTTTTTAGTTAATGAAATAGGCAAATATGACCTTTCTCCGAAAAAATGTAGCTTTGGATTGTCTGTGAAATTTGAATGTTGAATTAAGAATAGTTGAGAATGAGTTAATTAAGCTTCATATGAGAGGATAAAAAAACCCACATGTTTCAAGCACATGGCACTTGCAGATTTGTTAGTGCAAGAATAATACATACATCAGGTCACTTGAGGAAACTTGCTGAACAGATAGTAGGATAGGGTTTAATCCTCATTCTGGAAAGCTATCAAGAAAGCTTCAAGCTCTCATTTTTTTTCCTCTCCACAGTGGTGATCGATACGATGCGCTTCGCATTTGTGTTGGGAATGCTTTTTATCAGGTCTTGGCAAATGCAAAACTGTTTATGGTAAGATTTATGTGTGACCATTTACTGATGCTGTTGTTGATATTAGATCTCTCGGATATGGTCTCTTTCAGCCTTGAAGCGAAGACTGACTTTATCGACAGTGTATTTGTCATTGATTTTGTCCTGTACACTCTCTCATGTTGCTGCTTTTTTTTAAAGATATTCATACTGGAATATTGATTCTTTGTTGGTCTTTTTTCCTGTATTACGTAGTAGATTTTCATCTCACATAGACACAAAAGTTGTGGACAAAGTTTCAGCACACTCTAAGGTGAAGCATACTTTTCAGGTTTTGTCATATATATGGAGTTGTATGGTTGGCCTTCATTAGTGAAGTCTCAAATTTTCTACGTTTTGTTTTAACAGGTTGGCTGTGGTGCAATTGGCTGTGAAATGTTGAAGAACTATGCTCTACTGGGAATCAGCTCTGAGAATGGAAAGGTATTGTTTTTACATGTTTCATCATGTCTTTGTAGTAAAAGTTTTTCTATTTTGTATAATTGGTTGGCATCACCAGACATGTTCTCTACTACACATATTCTTTTTAATGACTAAAAATTTTTATTGAAACATTTGTGCTGTTCAAATTTTTTTCTTAGTGCTGACATTGGACATTTTTTTGTTCAGTAATTGCTGCTGTAACTCATATTATTTACTAGTTTGTACAGAGGTCTTAATAAATCTCTTTTCTGACAGGACTAATTGTTTTTGGATTCAGTATTATGGGTTTTCTCTTTTTGTTCCACCTTCTAAATTATTTCTTGTCAGGAAGATGAGCTTTGGTTATGCTTATGCTAAATTTATTAACAGTACTGAAACAATACGTCCACAGATTACAATAACAGACAATGATCTGATTGAGAAGTCCAACTTGAATCGACAGTTCCTTTTCAGGCCCCGTCACATTCAGGTAACCATCATATTTGAAAAGTTCCTGTAATAATGAATTAGTTTACCTGTCTTTCTTTAAAAAATTTTAATTTGACAAATGTAGGTGTCTTTTACACCCCCAATTTACGGCAAAAGTCAGATCATTTAGGAGATGAGCTGCGACCTTGCCTATCTGGGCTAACCACGGCTGTTACGGATACAATGTCCCTGCAGAAAGACCTAGATACTCTCTTAGAATTCTCTCCATGGGCCAATTGAACTCTGGTCTTCTGCATGCGATGGTGAAGTGCCTTAACACTACACGATAGATGCCGGTGCTGTATTTTTTTATTGCAAGGAATATTTTATTGTGAGAATCTTTATGGACAGATTGCACGATATTATATAGTATATATATATTGGTATGTATATAATATTTTTTTTTTTTCCTGTGATTTTAATATATTTCATGACTAACTCTGTAAAATATTTACATTTTTTATTAAAAAGTCAGATTATTTTTTAAAATCTTGTTGATTGACAGACTCATTTTTCTTTCTTTTGTCTTGTTTTATCCCCACTGTTCAAAACCTTGAAGAGAGTACAAATGCTCTTTGAGTAGTGTGTTGTTTTTGATCTAGTGATTTCACACATTAAAAAAATGTCAGTTAAAATGGCGTTTATTGTTTTACTGTTATTCTGCATACTGTTCTTTTGTACCATTTCAGAAACCCAAATCAACAACAGCTGCGCAGGCAACAGTTGAAATGAATAAAGGTATGACATTGTTTTGTTATCAAATTTTTAGTGGATGTCTTTTTTTTGCTTTGTTTTAATTTAGCTTCCGTCAGTAGCAAGTGGCTAATTTGCCAAGGTGTTTGAATCCTGTTTTTATCCACATGAATGAGAGAGAGAGATTTAAACTTTTTTTTTGTTGCAATCTTTGTCTTGTGCACTTACTGGTCACTGCCTTGTAACTCAAAAGAAAAAGAAAAGTCAAATGATATCCACTTTATTTAAAAGTAGACAATCGTACGACTACTTTTCCAGTTTTACAATGAAGGCATTATGGCAACAATCTCTGAATTTGTAGTGTCATTTAGAATTCCTAGATTCTTGTTTTTATGTAAAAATGAAGCAGAAAAGGTGAATGAAAATCTTTTTTTTTTGTAACTTTATTTTTTTTTTTTTGTGTAGCCTATTTTTTACAATGGTTATTTTCTGTTACTAATTCTGGCATCGTGTGTTCTATTCATGCGTATATCCTTTTGTTTCAGATATGAAGATAGAAGCACATCAGCACAAAGGTAAGCTGAGTTTTCGTTAATGATACTGGCACTGGAGTTGACAGTTTGTTTGTGTTCAGGTTTATGGGCAGTCACCTACCCTATCTGTTCTGACAAAGAAAAAAAAATTCTCTCGATACTGTTGTTGTATTTCTACTTAATATTATTCTGTATGTAGATTTAAATGAGAGTGTTTCCTCTGTGTTTGACAGTATAATCCTGTATGGAGTGTCTCCTATTATGCTCTGGTGGTATTTCTACCGAAGAACACATAAGCCAGTAAAGAAGTAACATGTCTTTATTATCCCTTTGTTTCAGTTTGTCCTCAGACTGAAGAGACTGTGTATAATGATGCATTCTTTGAGAACCAGAGTATTATTGTGAATGCACTGGACAATGTGGAAGCTCGTCGCTACATGGACAAGTATGCTATGCTTTTCCCTATTTCATTGTTTGTTCTACTAAAGTCAAAGTTAACATGATGGTTCAGCCTGTGAGGAGCTCAAACACTGTTATTCATAGATTTACTTCACTGTTGACTGTCAGCATAATGGTTCTCTGCATCTTTAAATATTCAACAGAAATTCTGCTACGCTATGGTCTACATATTGTACCACTGCCTGGTTCAGGTACCAGCTTAGTAAGAACAAATTGCTCTTCAACTCTACATTTATCTCAAGTAGTGAGGCTCACATAATACAAGGTACTGAGCCTTGAATACAAGCCAAATGAATTATGCTCATCACTGTATTTTGTGTTCCAGATCTTTTTTCCTTATTTTGTCAATGATGCACAATTTCCATTTTTAGTCCTCTGCTTTCTTCAACTTTGAGCGTGAAAGCGTGCTGTCCCACTCGTTGGTTAATAAAAACAAAAAACCAGACTAACTTTTAATGGAAGCAGGATATTGGTAGCATTATTAGTATTATAGATCTCAGATATTAGTAAATTATATAATTAATCATGCAATATTCAGTACTGTTTGTTGCACTGCCCCTCTGATGCATTGCCACCCATTTATTAGCTCTTACAAAGAAAATTAAAAAAAATTTTCTACATCTTTAAGCCGATGTGTTGCAAATCAGAGAGCTCTCATGGAGTCTGGGACCATGGGCACCAAGGGCCATGTGCAAGTGATTGTCCCACATCTCACGGAGTCTTACACCAGCCAGGTAAGATGATATTCAATATTGCCGTACATGAAATGTTTACCTCTTACTTACTAACTTGATACTACCTCAGACTTTGTAGTAGAATCATCATCAAGTGTCTTGTAGCAGACATTGATGGTCTTTGCTCTCCATCCCTCTCTTTCATTGGAGGACCTTAGTTGGATAATTTTAAAATGATAGCTGTCAGGGTTTAAGTCAGTGCTGTAATATTGCTCTTTATATATTTTTTCGACTCCCACTTTATTTATGGTCTTCAGTGTCTTTTTGTCTGCCTTTTGTCTGTTTTCTTGTTTTGCACTCCTTTTGTATTGTGTATCTGGCCTCAGGTTGATCTCTGTTTTCATAGTTTTTCCCCTGCTATGATCATCACTGGTTGCTCTACTTGCGTTGTAATATCAGGTAAATGAAAGGATAAATATTGTGTTCAGTTTGATACTCTGATTTAATAAAAATGAAATGATGAAACTCTTTAGACAAAATATGAATCCAAAAGCATTTATTAAAATAAACTTGTGGTTATGAATATTATTGTCTTACTTCCACAGCAAGATCCAACAGATGGAGATTTCCCTTACTGTACTGTCAAGTCTTTCCCTGCTCAGCTGGAGCATTGTATACAATGGGCTCGTGATAAGGTGAGGCCTGCAGTGGACCAAGATTCTAATGTATCTTTTTAAGACCAGGATGTGATGTAAAGATAACCTTGAAATGGGCATCAGTCATCAGGTGTCTTGAGGGCATTTTGTTACGAAAAGGATTAGCGGACAGGGATTGTTGTCTGAAACAGATTTAAAGCTATGAGAGGAAATGTTATTTGACATCGCATGCTATTGTCTACCCGCTATTATGGTTTTGCTACCTTTAATTCGATTCTATGGTCTCCTTAGCCAGTAGTACATCCACCTGAAATGCAACATGTATTTTCTCTCCTTCAGTTTGAAGAATGCTTTGTACAGAATGCTCAATTGTTCAACAAGTTTGTGGAGGTCCACCCTGATATAGAAAACATTGCACAGGTGAGTGTAAACAGTTATTCTTGCTCCTGTTCAGTGATTAGTCAATTTGGTTCAAAGGTTAACTTTGATAACGAAAAATGCTTACAGTGGTATTGATTCATTGCAACCTTGTCAAATGTTAAAACAGCATGGGTAAAGTGACTGATATAAGGAACAAGGAGATTTAAATCAAATTTTATTATATTTTGTATGCCAATTATTTTATGTTAAAATTTTCATGCGGAGCAGCAATTTTTTTTTGTCTGTTGCATTTTATGCCTCTTTATCAAGAGTGTGCTTGAACTTTAAAAAAAAAGTGTGTTCAAAGCTGAAAATGTTTTCCCTCTGAGTTGTCCTGGCTACAAGATAGACAATAGACAGGGACCACAATTGGTATAAAGTCTTTTGAGCTTTGTGTTTCCGTGTCGATAGCTCCGTGAGCTCTGTGATGACACTTGGTTTAATTTTCCCCAGCAACTGGTGTCTGGGAATTCTATAGATGGGGCTGTCAAAGTGAGCAAATTCCTGGCTCAACGACCAACATCCTTTGCAGATTGTGTATGCCAAGCTCGACTGAGATTTGAAAAGTACTTCAACCATAAGGTTTGTTGTAGTGACATATTTGTACAGTTTTACTACAGAGAAGTCTGAGAAGTATAAGTATATAGAGTTATTTGTATGGATAGATTAAGCATTATGTCCTGTGGCTCAAGGATTCCCACAAGAGGACACAGGTGTTTATGTGGGAGACAAGACAAGGAAAATGTACTGTAGCTGCTACAAGCTGTTTCAGGATATTGGACTGTCAAGTGTTTTGCCCCCCCCCCCCCTCAGCAAAATTCATTTTTAAATATGAAAATGCTTTATGTTCTATGATTATGTGAGGTCAGTGCAATGAGTTGATATAAAACAAACTTGAAACATTATAGTTACCTTCCTCGAATTTATTCTTTGTTATCTGGGCATTGTCATTTGATTTGAGGTTCTAAGGCTTTGTGAGGTATGTGAATTTGACATTAAAAAGAAGAGAGAAATACAGAGACATGATTGGAAGATTATCATGAAACCCTTTGAACCCTTTGTAATGCTTTGTAATTTCAAGGAAGGGGTTATGATTAAAAAGAAGAGTGTGAGAAAGAAAAAGTCACTATTGTGTAATAGCAGTGCATGATTCTAACTGCTGAGCACTCTACAGAAATAGGGTGGAAGAATGGAAGATACATGTCATGATTGATTTTGTTACTGTTTTTCAGGCAAAACAACTTCTTCATTCATTCCCACTGGATACAAAACTGGAAGATGGTGGTAAGTATAATTGTAGAGTTTGTGTTTATTAACCTTTCCCTTCTTTGCAATATATCTTATGCCTGTGTCTTATTAACAATGATGTAAAAGTCTTTAAATTACTTGTCACTAATATGTTGAGGTATTTTGTTCCTGTAGTATGCAGCAGCTGCATTATTTTATATTATGCTAGCTGGGCCCCCTTTCGATGAAAGGAATGATCGGTGCATTAACATCAACTGAAAGTCACTGGCCTATTATATTTACACTCTGCTGGAATGGAGCAATAAATCTTGAGAGATGCAAAAAATTAAAAGGTCTAGATCTATACGGATCGCACACTTAAAATAGTGCTCAGTATTGCGCGACAGTATCGCACGGAAGTACGACTTGAAATAAACTAACCTGGCGGATTTTCTAAAATTACAGAGACAGAAGCATCGGCCTACAAAAGCGACCGGTGAAATAAATAAATTTTGCTTTTTGCAACAAAACTGTCTCAAAACTGAAAAAAATGAAAGGCGTCATAATCTGGAGAATATTTTAAAGAATCTTTTGGCAAAAACCGCATGTCGATCGATGTAGCCATTAAAAAGCCCTTTGAATAGCAAAATTCGACCACCACAAATAGATAATAGATAAGTTCACATTCTGGCATTAAGTAATAGTTTTTCCTAAATATGTTACATATTTTCCCCAGCTCTTTTCTGGGCGTCTCCCAAGAGGCCTCCAACACCCATTGAGTTTGACTCTCAAGAAGACATGTAAGTGGTAGAGCTGTGCCCATTCGACTTTGCTATTCGACATTCATGATTTCTGCACTATTCACAGCTATTCGAAGCATGGCAGAGCAATTGGAATGCCGTGTGCTTTTATTTTTTTTAAACAGATAATGGATTTTCATCTCATTTTTCTCAAACGTAATAAAATTGGAACACATTATATCTAAAATCATTGTGATAAATATACAGAAATGCTCTTTATTTGATGGTTACGAGACAGAGTGATTCGAGGAGCCAACAAGAGATATAAAATATTCCTCTAGAGACCTCTAGAAAATATACCTTATATTCACTCATCACACAATAGCTCAAGCAAGGGCAGTTGACTCTTGAAGGGCAGCGAATGTTTTTTTTCTTCTCATGAAGTTAGCTGTCATAATAAGCTCCCCTTCCCCTATAGGCTATTCGAAATTCGAAGCGCTTTGAACGGTGACATCCTGTCATCACACTGCACTGTCTGCACCAACAACACATGCGCGCTCAGTGGCTGGCGCTGTGAAAGTGATGGACTTATCATATAGAAGAAAAACAATTCGACGGCACTTCGAATGGTGGAAGTTATAGCTGGGCTTGTTGTATAGAAGAAAAAAACATTAGACGGCGCTGTGAATAATTAGTGAATGTTGAATAGCAGAAGTTAGGTTTGGGCCTATCATATACAAGTAAAAAACATTCGATAAAGGTATTTGAATAGCATGAATAGTGAGCTCACGCTTCGAAGCTTCGATGAATTTTTTTGTCCTCAAAATCGCACAGCACTAGAAAGTGGTCTTATAATTCTCATGGCTTTCATTTACACTGGAAAGGTGGTGTTTTTTTTTACCATCATAATTCCAGAAGCGCATTTCCATAAGCTGTGTTTTAAAAAACCTTTATTTGTATTTCTGTGTTTTCATGAAGTATTAGCGAAGTTGGAGTGATTAGGCAGATGCTGATAATATTCTGTATTAAAGTAAACCTCTTAAAATTCTGTTTATATTCTTTTTTTGTTTGCCCACTGTTATCTTGAAGCTGAGGGTCTATAATGATTTACAGGAGTAGATATCTGTAAAATGAAAATGAAGATACATTAAAGAATCACTTAACTGTCTTTATTTCTTCCAGGCATATGCTGTTTGTGATTACCACTGCCAGACTCCTAGCTGATGTATATAAAATACAGTGGACTGAGCAGGTAGCAGGTCTTTTGCCTTCTGTATGATTATCTTGTTTTTCTATTATTTTGTACCAGTGGTCATAGGGTGATTCTGGCCAGTCCTTCTTCTTTCTTATTTTTTTAAACGTGTTATATGTATTTTTGGTCTTTTTTTCTCTGGTGTTTGTGGTGTAGTAGTTAGGCTTTTGAATGTTGCATTGCAGAAGACAGGAATTTGATTCTCATTTGGGGAGGTTTTTATATCAAGTATCTCTAATGGCTTGGACATTGTCTCCTTCTTAGCCCAGGCTGACTGGGGGGGGGGGTGTCTAAGCAGGATTTGCAAGAAGAAGAGACGTATGAAATGGCTAATGAATAAAATGTATTGAGCATATAGTATTCTTGCTTCGTACAGTTTGTATTTTTCGTCATTTATACACATTTATCAGTAATGGTGGATGTAATTCTGTATTGTTTTCCCTGGCAACCTCAGGACACAGACAGGCTGCATGTGGAGTCTCTGCTGAGTGAAGTCAAAGTTCCTGAGTTCCGTCCATCAAATAAGGTGAGCTTTCGTATGTCAAGTTGTTACAAAGTTTTGGAACACAGGAAGGAGTAAGTAGAAAAAGCGTTGCCTCAGTAACATCATCAGAATTTAAAAGGAACTTTCACAGGAAATGTGACAGTAGCTCTTTTGTATGTTTCTATTGTTCTGTACACTTGGACGTCGGATAGCGAAAAAAAAACCAAACTTCCTAAGCTTTAGTCGACCTTATCTTCAGTACATGATATAAATTGTGAAGAATAGATTTACATGTGTATAGGGGAGGGGAGAAGAAGGGAGGACAAAACATGGTGCTAGTGGTATAGTCAAGAAAAGATTATTTTAAAGAGGAAAAAGCTGTGAGAACAGTTGGTCAGCAGAAATTTCTTACTGTCATTGTTGAATATAATCAAGTTTGGAGGGGTGCAAACTCAAATAACTGCTGAATCAGGGATAATACTGAATATTTCCTAAAGAAAGGGGCTTTGAGGTTAAATCTGCTGTAGATTAGCATATCTTTTTCCTGGCATGATTTAGTATAGTCTGCTCAATGCGAGACTTAAGAATCAAGGTAAGGTTCAGCGTCTTTTTTCTCTTGCCAACCTTGAGGGTCATTGTGTTTATTTATTTAATTTCTGTTCTGTTATCAGAGAATTGTGACAGACGAGACTGTGAACAAGGAAGATGCCACCCCACAGGAGATGTCTGGGGATGTGATTGTGTTGTCTGGTCAGAGAATACTACAGGCCTGCCAGTCCAACAAGAACACTGGTGGGTCTTCACTCGAGGATCACTGTTTATAGCAGACCCAGAGAAATGTTTCAAATTCTGGTGCTGCCACTTTCATAACGCGATGAGAAAAACTATGAGAATTCATAAAGAAATAAAATGATGGTGTGTTACCTTTGTGCTGACTAACATTTTAGAGTAATGAAACAAAAAAGTGTTGAAAGTTTAAGGATTTTTTTAAAAGCGAGAAATTGTGTAAATTAATTTTTTTAAATTTTGAAATGTATTTTTAACGTATGCGTATTTATACCCAGATCAACGCAATTTAGGTCCTTTAAGAGGCCTACCTTGACACTGTCTTTTGGGCTCATCCTGGTCCAAGAGAGATACATAATACCTGCAGAAAGACTGAAACACTTGATGAAAATTCTCTCGTCACAGAAATCACACTCAGGTCTTCTGTGTGCGACAGTGAAGTGCCTCACCATTATATCACAGATGCTGGTGTTGATTGTATGTCATACCATAAACAGTGAATGCACAAAGACTGTCGCTGCTTTAAATACGAAGCTGGATAAGTGACACAGTTCAAAAACATGTACATGTTTCAATTTCATATTAAAATCAATGATTGGGTCATTCTTGCCCAATGTTTAATTCGTCGAAAAATATAGGTGCTTCTGTACGCCTTATGAAACATCAATTCAATATTTCTTCATGTAAGGAATCATTGTTTTGCTTTAAAAATAATTCTAAGGATTAATCTATCTGTCAAATTTGTTTCTACTAGCCATACATCCTGTCAGCCCTCTGGATTTCGAAAAAGATGATGACAGCAATGGCCATATTGATTTCATCAGTGCAACAGCAGTAAGTTTCTCGCTTTCCCTTTTTTATAGCAAAAAACATTTGGTTTCAGTGGAGGGGATGAGGGGTGATTTGGAAATAATATCCATAGTTAAAATACTCCAGCGGTATGCTTTTCCTCTTCACTCTCCATCAGCAGTTTCAAGTCTTGCAACATTTTTGCCTTCCCACCATTTGTTATTTGATGTATCTGCTGCTCATAAGTCTTTTCCAGCTCGCAAATCGTGAATTTACCACATTGTCTCCATATCTGCCACTAAGTTGTCTTGAAGGCCTCATGGTGTATGATTTTGTATATATTCTTTGGATGTTCCTTTTTAGTATTGCTTTGTTTTAATGTGTTCTGAGAAAAATGGGACCATTGTCATTTTGACTCGCAGGGAACAACTGTGCAATAAGAACATGCAATGTTGAGAACCAAAGGACAGTCATTTTGTTTATAGGCAAGTGTAACAGTAGACTATTTTCTTTATTTTGTAAGGTTCGTAAAGGTGATTTATATGATCATTTTAATAATCTTTCGCTCACTGTTTTTTCCCCCTCAGAACTTGAGAGCTCAAATGTACAGCATTGAATGTGGAGATCGGCTCAAGATAAAAAAGATTGCTGGCCGGATTGTGCCAGCAATTGCCACAACAACAGCTGCTGTGTCTGGTCTGGTTGCCATAGAACTGATCAAAGTCCTGGCCAAGGCACCAATGGAGCAGTACAAGAACTGCTTCCTCAACCTGGCCCTGCCTTTGATTCTACTGTCAGAGCCGGGACCTGTCCAGAGGAATGTCCTCAGGTAAGTTTTGTGTGTGTGTGTGTGTGTTTGTGTGTGTGTGTGTGTGAGGGAGAGAGAGAGAGAGAGAGAGAGTGCTTTTGCTAGGCGAGAAGTTTAATTTCACTATAAACTTTCCACTCTGTATTTATATTACTAAAAGAAATTTTCAAAATGAGTCTTGTTACTAGACCCTTTTCTTAATCATGTAAGAATTTGTCTCATGTCGTCAATGCATTTTTTTTGGTAGTCTTGCAAGTTTTAGGAAACCGTGCACAATGTAGATGAAGTCTCTAACACTTGGAGATTTCTACTGTTCTCGAGGATGGTTTGAGCTTTTGAACTGTGTAATTTTTTTAGTAATCAACTGTTCAGTGTCTTATTAAACAGTTCTGGAAAAGGCTCCGGCTCCCCATTATTTTATTTTTTTAAACAGTGTTCAGAAAGATACTGCGTTTTCTTATCACTGTTTGTTGTGTTTACAGAGAAGGTCTGAGTGTGACAATGTGGGACAAGTGGGAAGTACGAGGGTCCAAGGACTTCACTCTACAACAGTTTCTTGATTCCTTGAAGGTAAGGAATGGTTTAATTGCTGCTTGTTTGGTCATTGCTAATCAAGTTCAGAGGCCCTTAGGCAAGGTACAGTAATTTAAATTTGAAAGGTTGATTATTTCTTGGGTCCCACAAGCTGTACTTATGTTTTTTATACTTTTAATATTTTGTGAAAGTTGTTTGTGTTTGTTTCCATCTTCACACGCTTACATTTTTCCTGAAGTTACTCTGTATGTAATGGTGCTATCTTGATATAATTTAATAGTTCCATACTGGACTTGAACAGGAATATTCTTTTCTTTTCGAAAATATACAGTGTCGTACACTATCCTCCTTACCTGTTCAGTTGAATTTAAGTGTGTTTTTCTGGTCTTTTTTCATTTTGCTGGCTCAAAAACCAGGGAATGGTATTTGTGCAGACTGCAGTATGTCAGAGGATCAGTTGGTTGGATAAGCTATTGAAAAATGTGTAAAAGAGAATCTGCATACATCATCTGGGTATTCTGGCCTTTTAAAATGATCTTGTGCACATTGTGTTTTAGCTACTTAACTTTCCAAGTCAAATAAACAATATCAGAAACTCTTCAAAGTAAGCAGTAATACATTTCTCATCTTTTCTTCTTTTTTAGATGTCCTCTTGTGATGTTTGATGTAATCAGTGTTTATTCATTTTTTACTCCCTTGTGCCATATACATTTTAGCCTGACATTGCTTACAAACAGAGATGGATTTTTCTTTTCAGCAACAATTTGGATTTGAAGCAACCTCAGCTTGCCAGGGAGTAAAGATTGTCTACATGCCATTTATGCCAGGGCACAGCAAGAGACTACCCATGCCGTGAGTGACCAATAGGGCCTACCTGTTTTTGAACTTCCACTTTTTGTAATGGATCATTTGTGTCTAAAACAAGCTTTTCACTGTTTCAGATCTTGTGCTTCGTTTCTGTTGGACTGAATTTTAAAGTGCTGTCTTTCTTAATAATAATAATAATATATAGCATGTGTATAGCGCATATCCCCGCTCAACAGCAGGCTCTATGCGCTTTACACTATATTATTACCCCAGCAGACCATAGAACTCTTAGAAACATTCTCAGCTCCCCGGGAAGCATACAGTGCAAGCAGCTGATTGAGCGCTCAAACACTAACAAACTGACAAGATCTTTCGCTGTCTATAGCCGGGTACCCATTCCCACCTGGGTGAAGTGAGGATATTTCGTCTAAAGTGCCTTTCTCAAGGACACAACGTCGGGCCCCTGATGGGATTCGAACCCACGACCTTACGGTTGCGAGTCTGAGAGCCTAACCACTAGGCCACCGACGCCCAAGGTCTTAACATAACTGAGCATGTTCCTGAAGCTGTTCAAAGATGTTTACTCCTTTGTTTTCTATTGAACCTTTTTTCCTCTATCAGTTTTCATGTTGAAGCAGGGAGATGTCAGAAACATCCCCAAATGACTAGACACTGACAATTCTAGTGAAGAATTTCTTTTGATGGTATTTACAGACAGGGATGTACATCAAATAATTTTGTGCACCTCATTGTCATTGCCCTTTTCATCCTGGACCAGGGATGAGGCCACTGACAAACACTTTCCACTTTTCCCTATTTTGGGATAGCTTCTTGACACAATTTCATGCCCGTCCACTTTTCTGTTCATTATTCTTAATTTTGTGCACCAGTTGCTGTTTATTATTGCAGTATTCTTTTGCTCTTGTTTTTTTGGTGCTTGACTGCCATTTTTTTAAATAATAGGACTCGATATAACTGGAGCTATGGTGACATTTTTCATTGTAAAATCAGATGGGTTGTAGTTGGTTTTCTTTTCAGTTAGGTTTTTACTCTTTTCATCAGATCTGCCTTTTCATTGGCCCTTTGTCTCTTTAATTTAAATCTTTAAGCTCTGGGTTTCTTCCACCATTTCCCGGAGTTTTTTCTAGTCACCTAAACCTAGTGCACTGTCTCATTATAAACCCAAAAGCTTTCCTCCAACTTCTTAATAGCAGAAGCAGAGTCTTAGTCATTACTAAAAAAACTTACTTTGGGAATAGTTCCGAAAAACAAGTAAAAACTAGCCCTCAATAAAATAAAACAGTTGTCACTAGTACTGGACGCTCCCAGCATCCGATGGGGCTCAAAGAGTTAACTCTCAGCTGCATGGGTTTTTGATCATGTCTTTGTGCTGTATGTTTTTTACCTCACAAGATCGTAAAAACATTTATATATGGGTGGTTAGTGGGCATACTGGTGTAATCTACTTCTTCTTACTCTTTTCAACATTTCTATTTTGATCCAATTTGTACCTTGTTCACTGTGGCCCTTATTATGCTGCTTCAATCACATGAGATTTGTTTTCTCTATTGTCTACAGCATGACTAAACTGTTGAAGCCGGTAGCTGGGCAGCAGTACGTGGATCTGGTCGTGTCCTTTGAGGGCGATAATGACGAGGATGTTCCTGGCCCACCTGTACGATATTACTTCTAAGGGATACCATGATGGGACTTTGGAGAAATATACTGCTTTTTGGATTACTTTTCCTGTTGATGAACATCGCCATGTGAATTAAATATTTTGCCTGAATTGGAAGGAACACATCACATTGAAGGAATAAAATGTAGTGCCAATGGATGATGCAGTTGATAATCCCCATTCCTGAAGAGCATGGAAGAATTGTGGTAACTTGATCAGCTGTGGTTTTGGCTACTTATGTTATTCAGTGTCTGTGTCAATCCCCAAGACTGAGTGCAATGTCAATATGTTTTTTCTACCCAGATGTCTGTTAACACTGTTGCTTGTGCTTTAGGAAAAAAGCCTGACAAAACGATGATTTAAAAAAAAGTGTAAGTTTTGTTTAATAATCTATGAGATGAAGACTGATAAACTGTTCAAATGTGGTATAAGATGTCTAAAAGACCATTGACATGTCAATAGTTCTTTATGTGAGGGAGAAAACCCAACCTTAAAATTAAGAGACTGTTTGGTTGTGTCCTGTCTGTTGTGGTATTTGAACAGTGCAGGCTACATGAAGGTTGTTCTGTGATGAGCATGTTACCCAAATGTTTTTGTTTTTAAAAGAATAGAGAATTATTACGTAAAAGTGGATGGATGAAGGCTTATGAGGCTTAGATTCCTGTTGGAGGCTTGTCTCCTCTATCCACATGATGTGGGTTGTTGTCTTTGCACCCACTAGTTGTCACAAAAGACATCATAATATGGCAAAGATTTGGCTGTCACTAAAAGCATTGCTAAGCAAGTTTACTGCTGATTCAGACTTATTTTTTCCCCCTGAATTGAGAAACATCTCTTATATTTTTAATTTTTACCTTTTTGTGCAAATGTGTCCCACAGTTTTCATGAGCGTCTTCTCTCTTGAAAATTATTGGTCTTGCAATTTTTCTCAATGAACACTTTATTGTTGGCCAACAGTGAGAGTCATCCTTAACACTATTTGGGGACAACATTTCCATGTTCCTTCAACTTCACACTGGGTCCACAGCTTGTTTCTCTCATAAAGGAGGTGTAATATGGGAATTTTTCATATAGACCTATTCTTTTAAAAGCTTGAAATAGGATTTCTGTCGCAGTGTAGAAGTATTCAGCTATTTATTTGTAAATGAAGTTGTAACTGTTAACCAGTATGAATAGTGAATAAGGTAGTGAATACATATTATAGTGTTTTAGTACTTTCTTATGCTTTACAGTGTTGGGTCAGTTATGGATGGGCAATCAACTTTCAAAAAGCCATGAAATGATGTGTTTTTTGGTCTATAAAGGAAATTTATGTTGTATTTAGAAAAACTGTTACCTTTACCTTAGAAATAGTGTTATCTCTGCCAATGTTTTTTTTAAGCAAGTTAAATGAGTAAATCTGCTCAGAAAATGATACAAGTGTGTGTTCCATGTGCTATATTTTTATACAAAAATTAAGCCATGTCTGCTTTTTCTGAATTTGCCTTTTCATACATTTATAAGCGATTATGAATAGCATATGTAAAAAAATTATGTCTTTGAAAGGGGAATGTATTAGTTTGGGGGAAATTTTAAAGTGAAATAGATGTGAACGCTAGCAGCTTTTTTTCTTCTATACCTAACTGTTCTGAACACTCTTGTGTTCCATCTCTCTATTGGTGAAAAGAATAAACAATTTTAGGGTATTGATTTTTTATTTTCTTTTTTGTTTTGTTTTGGAGGGGGTGGGGCAATCTTTTTGTACCATTGCCCATTATCATTGCAGTAGTAATTGTGCTCACTCTTGGTTTGCTTCTGAATAGTTATCACCTGCTGTCGTGAAACTCATGATTTCTCTAGCCTACTGGACTGTCATGTTTTACATGAGTGCAGGAGACATGTTGTATCATCACTGTGTTCTGATCTGAACACTGCACTACCGATACGTTGATCGGGGTAAGGGGCTGCTGTAGACATGATCCAGTATGTTGAGGACTTGATTCATGGCTTGACTTTTTTCCCGCCCCAACATTTAATAGAGCCATTATGTGTCAGTCATTTTGAGAAGACCTTTTCTGATATTTGCTGAGGTACTCTTGAACCCTACATCTTATTTGATCTTTTTTTAAAGTGCAATTTAAGAAAAGGCTGTTATTTTTTTAAATTAAAATTTTCACTTTGCTGTTTTCTTTAAAAAATTACTTTTTTTCATGCAGGAATCATAGCGTAGATTATACAGTTTAGGTCAAATAAATACCTTCTTTTGTACTGTTGTTTCAAAGGCATCCCCTTTTGCTATCAATACGATTCACTGTGTTGAAAGCTATTTATTTCCCCCCAGATATCCTATCTGGATGATGTATTTTTTAATCTCTTTTGTGCTGTATGCTCAAACTGCTTCACATTGGTGAATTTTGCCTTAAGTATGTAGACCTTCAGGTGTTATTGTCCCGTCGCTAGTGATTTCAGGGTGGGACTAAAAAAATACACACTTCTTGAACTCTCAAAGGAAAATTTGTAAAATCAAAGTAAAAGCAAAACTTGTGATCCCTCACACAGCGTTGATTTATACACACCTGATTATTTAGATATTTGTTGCTTATTGGCTGTTCCATTTTCATGTATCTGACGATGTGTTTCAAAAGCTGTTGTATTGCTTGTGACTCTTGTAATAGTGTCTTTCTATTTGTGTTAACCGCCAAGGCTTGTTCAGTTGATTCAGTCACTGCTATTAAAAGCAAAGTGCGTACACGATATAAAACAGATTGATTTACTGTTTTTTTGTGGTGTGAGTGTTGGTTTGTGTTGGTGTCTCTGTGTGAGTGTGTATGTTTGTGTGTGTGTTGTGTTTTCAAGTGCAAAAGGGGCGGGGGGGGGGGGGGGCTAGTAGTGACCTTTGTGTCTTCACCGGCATTACTGGTAACATGTCATTCTCTGGTGGATGAAGGGCGACATGAGAGTGTCCTGCTTCCTTCACTCCCTCCACTGTATTTTTGTGGAGAGTATGTTTCAGCATTATTGCATTATTTAGACAACCATCATTATCCATGTGCCTCTCTTCACGTCAGACTCTCAATTTGTTTTGTTTTTTCAGAGCTGTCAGCTGCTTTTTCTTCCCTATCGTCATTTTTCCTCTACTTCTTTTGTATGTTTGTTACTCTCTTGTGAACTGCTAATTCCGGGGTGCTTTGATAGTCGAAGCCTGATTCCCTGTTTGGACTCCTCTGTTGACATCCACCCCTTGATGCTCATATGACCTTGTGCAGTTGCGAGCGCCGTAAAACCTTACTAAACTAAACTAAACTAAACTAAGTCATAAAATTGTTACTTAATTCTGATAACGTATTGAAAGAAGTATAGCCCAATTCTTACTTTAAAAATTACTGGTACAGGATGTGTAAATATGAAAGGGAAAAATGAATTGAAAAACAGGAGAAAGAGGTTAAGACAGCACCTTAGCGCAGCTAGCTGCTGACACTGTAATAAATAAATTATCAATGGTTCTGTTCAGTAGTCTCATTGCCATTCACGCTTTGTGCATTGTGAAAGAATGGAATTACATGCGTGATGAAAAGCCTGCAATTTATTCAATCTGGTCAGCCTATGCAGACGAGTCGTGTTGCCACTGAGTACATAAATACACTATAGTTGGTTGTCATGTTGTGCATCCGGTTGCCGTGGACGTGAGGTGGATGGTTGGCGAGTGCTCTGTTGTGGATTGCTCCTTCTTTCCTATCAAACATCTATACTCCTTATCTCTCCTTTCTTGTGTGTTTTTGTTGCTCTCTTGTGACACCTCTAATCTTCTGTGGGTGGTTGGCGGGTGCTCTGGTGTGGTTTGCTCCTTCTTTCCTACAAAAAATCTATCGTCTCTATCTCCCCTCCTTTTTTGTGTTTGTTGCTCTCTTGTAGCACCTCTAATCTTCGGCACTTATATGACCTTATTGTGTTGCAAGTGCCGTAAAACTCTTACTAAAACTCAATGTAATCTTTGGCACTTCTATGGCCTAATTGTGTAGCAAGTACCGTAAAATTCTCTCCAAAAAAAAGTACGTGATCAAACGGCCAAGTCAGGCCTACAACCTTCCCCGCTGTTTCCGGTGTTGAGATGAGCTAGATCGTCGTAAAGTGGTTTCTCAGAAAGGGTGTGGACTGCTCCCACGGTGACGCTCAAGGCGTGGGTAAGTGGGCAGGAGGCAAGGAAGGGGAAGCCTCCGGAAGTTGAAGAAACCACAGCTCCCGGTTGTTATAATTGTCTACAGTGCAGGGACTATCAAAATGAAAACAAAAAGCCCCTGCAAAATGTTGATTTTTAGACATGTTTGCACTGCTGTACCTTGCTTTTGACAACCTTTTGGCATGTTTGCAGTTTTGCTGGTTTTTGGGGAATAATACGTTGACGAGCATTGTTTCGGCTCGCGAAGGAGAAGCTGAATACACCTGCTCTAAATAAATGATTGACAGATTTCAGCGGTCCTCGTTGAATAGCCTACAACATACCAAATGTATTTAGGAACTTGTTTAAGGGCTCTCTTTTTTATATTAAACTGCCAAGATAGCACATCAGAAAAAAAACCCAACTTGATGAAAATTGGAAGGTAAAGAGCAGTGTATTGTTTGTCGCAAAGTTGTTTAAACCATCCGTGAATGCTGTTCCCTGCTTTCCCCTGCTTTTCCTTCCTTCTATCTTTTCACCCACTAACACTTTCTCTTGTCCATTTGATCTATTTCTCTGGCCAAGGAATAAGAATCTCTATAATAATTTTGCCTCTTTGTGATAGTAATGACAGAGCTTTTAAAACTGCACCCCCGGGCGGTGCTATTGACTGAAGGGTCTTTAGGCCATCCCCCCGGGGGGGGCATTAACCTGTTCTTATGCACAGTAGAATTGTAAATGGGCTGATTCATCGAAGTCATGCTCATAACTGTGCCTGAACTGCAACAATGAACTGCTGCTTTTTCTTTCCTAATCCTTCACCATCATCATCGTTTCCTTTCTCATCCTGCACCAGGGTATAGGCCACGGACTAACACCTTCCACCTTTCTCTATCCTGGGCTAGCCTCTTGATGTTATTCCGTGTCGTCCCACTTTTCTGTACATCGATTTCTGTGATTCTTCTCCAGGTTCCACGGGGTCTTCCCTTTGATCTCTTGCCCTGTGGGTTCCAATCCAAAACTTTCTTTGTTATGCAGCTGCCTGACTTCTTGAGAGTATGTCCAATCCATCGCCACCGCCTTCTTTCTACCTCATCTCTGACTGGGATCTGTCTTGTTTTCCTTAACACTTCCACATTGGTGACCCTGTCTGTCCATCTAATCCTAAGTAGCTTTCTTAGACACCTGTTCAAGAAAACCTGGATCCTCTTTATGCAAGTCTGTGATGCATTCCGTGTCTCACATCCATACAACAGGACCGACTTCACGTTTGAATTGAAAATCCTCAGCTTTGTTCGAAGTGAGATATCTCTGGTCTTCCAAATCCTATCCAAAGATATGAAAGCAGCCTGTGCTTTTCCAATGCGGGACTTTATTTTAGCACCTGTCCCTCCCAAGATAGCAGAAGGATTCAACGTTTTCTAATGCCTTTCCTTCTATTGAGACCTGCTCCTTTCGTTGTGCATCTGTCTTTAGGACTTTTGACTTTCTAGGGTGGATCCTCAATCCAACAGACTCCGATAGGCTGTTTAACACCGAAGTCTTTGCTTACATCTGTTCCTGGGTGTGCGACAGAAGCGCCAAGTCGTCTGCAAAATTCAGATCGCCCAACTGTGTCCATGGGGTCCACTGTATACCATTTCTGTGTCCTCTGGTGGTTTCCTTCATCAGCCAGTCGACTGCCAATATGAAGAGGAACGGTGATAGTAAGCATCCCTGTCTCACACCAGTCTTGATGTCAAAGCTGTCAGTGAGCTGGCCATCATGTACAACCTTGCAACTTGTCTCTTCATACATGCTCTTGATGAGGTTCACCAACTTCTGTGGGATTCCGTGGTGTCTCATTATCTTCCATAGTGTCGCTCGGTCTATACTGTCAAAGGCCTTCTCATAGTCAAGGAAGTTGACAATCAGCTCTGAGTTCCACTCCAGGGACTGTTCCACAATAATCCTCAGCGTGGCAATCTGGTCGGTGGTTGAGCGATTTTTGCGGAAACCAGCCTGTTCATCCCATAGTCTTGGATCCGTTCCCGTCTTGATTCTCCCCAGAATGATTCTGTTGAAGACCTTACCTGGTATTGAGAGAAGAGTGATCCCTCTGTAGTTGCTGCAGTTGCTGAGATCCCCCTTTTTGGAAGCTTCACGAGGTGTCCTTCTTTCCAACCCTTTGGGAACTTACTTTCATTCCAGATCCTGGTAAACAGTGGGAGGAGGATGTCTGCCGTCACATTGGCATCTGCTTTTAGGGCTTCAGGTGGAATCTGGTCGGACCAGCCGCTTTACCTTTGTTCAGCTTCTTAATAGCATCCAGAATCTCTTGTTTTGAAGGAGCATCACAGCAGGTAGGTAACTCATTTCTTGCTGGCAGTATGTTTGGTGGGTTACTCGGTGGTGGTCTGTTCAGGAGACTGTTGAAATGCTCTACCCATCGTTTAGACTGAGCTTCCTTTCCAAAAATGCTTTTCCCCTCTTGAACCTTTACAGGTACTTTAGGTTTCCCATATTTTCCAGCAAGTGTCCTTGTGGTCTGGTAAAGGATTCGCATGTGCCCTCCTACTGCTGCTTCCTCTGCCGTCTCTGCTAGCCTGTTCATGAATCCCTCCTTGTCTTTTCTTATTGATTTCTTGACATCTTTAGCTGTTGTCTTGTACTGCTCCAATGCATCCCCTCTTGATCCTCTTGTTTAACTTACATTCACTTCTGCCTTCAGCTGTCTTTTTTTCCTAATTAAATCCAATGAGTGTTGGCTAATCCATTCCTTGTGCTCCCATTTCTTCACACCGAGTACTGCTTGACTTCTTGACAAGTTGATGTAAAGACTTCTTTGACCTTGGTCCAGTGTGTATCCACCTCCGTGTCCTCTCCGCCAAGATCAGCCAGAGGTTGAAATCTGTTCCTCAGCTGCAACTGAAACTCTTCTTTCTTGTGTCTGTCCAGGAAACTTACTTGGAACTTTGTTCTTTTGATTCCTGTTCTGGTTCCGTGCTTTCTGAGTCGAAGCTTGAGTTTTGCCAACAGCAGATGATGATCCGATCCAACATCTGCCCCTCTCTGTACTTTGACATCTTCCAGTGAACTCCATCTGGCGAAACCCATGTGGCCTTGTGGATCCTCTTGTGCAGAAAAACAGAGCCTCCAATAACAAAACTGTTGAAAGCACATATATTTGCAAATCGCTCACCGTTCTCGTTCATTTGTCTCAAGCAATTCTTTCATGCCCCACGTTGCCCTGACCAATCTTGGCATTGGCATCTCCCATTATGATGTTGACATCCTTCCTTGGTAGTTTGTCGATGACCCCCCGGAGCTAGCTGTAAAAGGCATCCTTGTCTTCATCCAAAGCATCATTTGTTGGGGCGTAGATTTGGACTATATTGATGTTGATGCTCTTGCTCCTTGTAGTGAATGAAGCCATGATGATCCTTTCTCCGTGTGGTTCCCATCTAAAAATTATTCCCACTCCTTCCGCATGGTAATTGTCTTCCCTCCCCGAATACAATACTTGTTCCCCCGAGCTGAGCTGCCTCTGTCCAGACTGTATCCAGTGTTTTTTGCTGACTCCTATTATGTGCAGCCCGTATCTCTTCATCTCTTGTACTACTTGAGAACACTATCCTGCTTCATACAAGGTGCGAACATTCCACGACGCAATTCGGAGAGACTTGTTCGACAGAGAAGGTTTCGGGTCAGAAGAGTCCTTTCGGCTTTGTGCGCTGTCCTTCATTGTTCCTGCTGATGCAGAAGCTCCCCCGTCTCCCAAGATCGAAAAATAAACAGCTGTGTTTGTCCGTGTTTCTGTAACTTACTGTTTTTTACTGGGGTGGGTAGTTGGCCCTCCGCAAACTGGCACTTTTCGGGCGACCAGACCTATGCACTTTTAGTCGCCTCTTACGACACGCAGTATCACAATTCTTTGCTCCCCCATAGTAAAACTAAGGGGCTCCCCATCAGCAGGGGAGTTCCTAGTCCTTACTATCGTCATTTTTCCTCTACTTCTTTCGCATGTTTGTCACACTCTTGTGACCCGCTATTTCCGGGGCGCCTTGATAGTCGAAGCAGACTTTGTGCTGTTGAAGCTAGAGAGGTGAGCAGAGTAAGTCTGATTCCTTGTAGGCCTAAGGACTTCTCTGTTGACATCCACCCCTTAATGGCGCTCATATGACCTTTGCAGTTGCGAGCGCCGTAAAACATCTACTGAAACGAACAATTTATAAACTGCCATTAAGAGCGCTCCTCTATTTGTTTTGCTCTCTGTCCATTAGATTCTGAGTATTCTACTATTAATGCTACTTTTGGCCGCTTCCATTCTTCTTTCTGTGTCCTCATTTAGAATCTAGATCTAGCTCTCTCTCTCTCTCTCTCTCTCTCTCTCTCTCTCTCTCTCTCTCTCTCTCTCTCTCTCTCTCTCTCTCTCTCTCTCTCTCTCTCTCTCTCTCTCTCTTTCATTCAAATAGATTGACCATACTTATGGTTTCAGGGTTCTTTTCTTTGTGTCCATTGTTATGTTTCTATTTGAGAGGACAGAAAGTTTCTTTAGATACATGGTTTGCATTGCCCTTTAAAAAAAAATCGCTATGTCACTTTTTGCATCTAGTGTAATTGTGCAACCAATGTAGATCTAGTATCTAAAACCGTTGACCTATTTTATTCTTTCGTTTTTGCTTGTGATGTTGCATTGTGGGATGCTGGGTCATGACCATGCACCACTTTGTCATGCACTCCCTTTTCTAGGCACAGGCAGGCATTCGCCCTCGGTTGTCGACCTTTCTCTGCGCTTTTTTCTGTCACGCAACAGTACTCACAATTTCCTGGAAATTTGACCCAAAGCCAGCTATCAAGACTGCGTACTGCAGGTTGTTCCTATTGTGACCGTTTACCTTGACTCCTCCCTGATCGCTGATGTTACACAGTAGGCTACATGTATCATTGTGCTGTATAAATAAAAGAGAACTGGAAATAAGACACACCCTTGTCGCACTTCTCTGCAGATTGATCAACATTCGCTAAGCTCGCTCTGGACCCTGAAAATTGTCAAAGATCCTATAATATAGGAACTTTGAAGCTATCCAGACTCTAGGCCTAATCATGGACTTAATAAAGCGTGGAAAACCAAGTGTGTTTCGGAGATTTCCCATTGTGGGCATTGCTGCACCTTTCTGACCCAAACGTTGTATTGACAGACTGCTGTGAAGATGTAGGCTACGTGTGCTATCATAGTAGATCTATTGATACTACAGTGCATGAACTGAAGAAGGTATATTTGGGTACTACTACTGACTGACTGGGTCTAGAATCTAAATCTAAAAGCTTAGTAAAATTGAAAGCTAAAACTGTGCATTCTCGTTTTGTTTATCTTAGCTGTATCTTTGGATTTTGATGATAGAAAAAAAGCGTCAAAAATCGGAAAGAGGGTCCTTCATTTGGCAGCTAGATTTAGATATCTAAATCTAGATCTAGATATAGATCTAGATCTAGATCTAGATTTAGATTTAGATTTCTAGATCTTGAATCTAAATTCTATGCCAACATGAATTTGATTTTAAAATTACAGCTGGATATAGATCCAGCCCTACAAGCTAGATTTATAGCAAACGTTCATCAGCTCCCTTGAGATGTCATCAACAGATTCAAGGAATAACATGGGGAGACAAAATAACCATCCCTGAAATACAGACAAAAGCAGGAATCCCCGTAGTCGCCAGAGTGTTTCCAAAGCAGTCTGAAATGGCTAGTGGGTAGTTAACGAATGCTCTGGTGTGGTTTACTTCTTGCTTCCCTTCTTACCTATAGAACATCTATCGTCCTTAACGCACCTCTTTCTTTTCTTTGATTGTTACTTTCCAGTAACACCTCTAATCTCCGGTACTTACATGACATTGCGTTGAAGCGCTGTAAAATTTTTATTTAAACTAAATTGAACTCAGATAATTAAAACCCATTCTCGGCATGGAAGATAGGAAAGAACCTAAAGACCTCTTTGGAAAACTGAGGGGGAAAGAGGGGTGGGGGAGGGGGGGCGATCTCTCCCAAGATACGTAGACGCTTACAAGAGGGAGATTACCTATGCCTGCTTCTCTAAATTACCACCGAAATAGAATCAGTTTTTAAAACTCCACTGATATGCTTGCTATGTGACCCCTGATACAGCAGTTCAACCTCTGCTTTTCGATGCCATAACTTACCATACATTACGATCCCAAGACTACCAACTCTTTCGAGGCCCACACGCGGAAAGGAGAAACATAAAAAAATACCTTAACAGACTTAACTGACTACGCATGGAAGAACGTCGAAGAGACTGGTACTTTGGGTGGTGGGTAATCCCTCCCTCCCCCCCCCCCCCCACACACAGAGACTCAGACACACACACACACACACACACACACACACACACACACACACACACAGATTCAGACACACACACACAGAGATTCAGATACACACACACACACACACACACACACACACACACACACACACACACACACACAAAACAGTAGGCCAGGCCTATATTACTTTGTTTTTGCCTGTTTCAATTACCGGTATCATCTTGCGTCTGTCATTTGCTATGAAATACAAGTACAAACACAAGAGGCCCGATTGGACCCGACGAAGACGTTCCAAATACGGATGTTACCATAACTAATGTTTAGCATGAAAAATTGAATGAAGATTTTTCTCCTACTCTAGATTCATTCACTGTTTATTCCCGTGTGAAAGTGACGTGCGAGACTATGGAGCCCCAGCGGCTATTCTTACAAAAAGCTGCCCTGGTAAGTCAGCATGTTCATAATATGTCCATCAATTAGTTCAATTCTCTAGTTTGATAATATATAAAACTGATATAAACATTGTACTAACTTGTACAGAGCTTATTTCATCACGGGATAGTCTACAGAAGCAGAGAGTGCTACAGCTGATCAGTTCATTCTTACTTTGATCAATTAATTATCTGAGAACGTGATTATGAATCGTAATAAGTACTCGCTTTGTGTGCGTACAAATGTAAGAGAAAAAAATTGTTGTGGTCGCTGTCAAAACGGTTGCCTTAATAATGGGCAACATCGCTGGTTCCTTTCCCTACATCATTTCTACGGCATGCCAGATTTTTTTCGCCCGCTTCTTAAAATCACGATTTCAGCCATTTTAAAAGAAATCTGCTAATTCAAGTCATTTGCAAAATGATAGAAAGGCCACTACTGCATTGAAACCCAAATATACACACGACACTGGGCAATTCTCAGAGTTTGTGCGAAAAAACGGGTTAAAGCACGAAAAAAGATTGCGAGAAAAAAACAAACCCGGTGGAGAGTATCAAAGGTCTTTTGGTTTGTTGAGGTTAAGCTTATGGCTCCTTCCAAGCCAGCCGGACCGTCTACTAGAGAGGTGGCATACGCTAAAATATTGTTCATCTAAAACAGCACTCAGCCAGTTCGAAAAGCGCCAAAAACTCTTTTACAAACAATAACAACAACATAAAAAACAACAACCGCAACAACAACAACAGCAGCAACAGCAGCAGCAATAACAACAACATAAACAACAACAACATCAGCAGCAACAAAGAGAGGTGGTGGCTCTGGCGAAGAGCACGCTCTTCAGGGCTCCAAATATTAAAAACAACAACAACAACAGCAGCAATAACAACAAGAGCAACTACAACATCAACATCAACAACTACAAACAAATAAATAAACAAACAAACATCAACAAAAAACCGGAAAAAAATGAACCAAAAACGAAAAACGCAGGAGGTTTTACAGTCCCCCCCCCCCCTCCCCCCGCCCACACCCACACACACAGTGCAGTCTTGTTTGTCGCTGTTCATGCATGCTTGGTCCACAGAACGTCTTCATCGACGACGAGGGTGATTCCGACCTTTTGGACAGAGAATCACCCGACGACACCGACACTGACAGAGCAACGGGACAACCACACAACGACAGCACGAAGGGTGAAGTGACGGACGCGGCCGGCAGAGGAACGCCAGACACCCGCCTCGTGGACACCAACGTGAACAACAACACGAAGAGGAACAAGTCGGCCGATGCAGGCGACGGAACCAACCAGAGGAGCTTTCGAGCTCGCTTGCCGAGAGAAGTAGCCACGGGCAAGTCGAAACGTGTGGCGTCCCACGGCAACCCCGACGGAGACAGTTTCGCTGCTTTTCTCTCGGATTCTGACGACGAGAGTTTCATCATTAGCCAGCTGGGCTCAGTCAATATGGGGGGGAACAATGCGGTGAGGGAGAACACTGTCCCGTATAATGACAAGAGAGCTCAGGATGACGACAGGTAAGACTACACGCGAAGTTTGAATGAGTAATAAAAATCTGTGGTACTCATCCGGCGGTAATAAATGGTGAATGCCTTGATTTGGACAAAGATCTTGTGGCCTTTGGGACATAGGAAGGCCGCTGTAAATCCTCGGGTTAAACGTCCACATTATCTCTGAGAGTGATAGAACCGACGTTCCATATAAGTCTACGGAGCGTCACGAGAACTCACCTAATTAATGTTTAAAATTAGAAAATAGGCAGACCTCAGCAACCAAATCATGTTTAAAATTAAAAATACGCAGACCTCAACAACAACAACAACAACAACAACAACAACAACAACAACAACAACAACAACAACAACAACAATAAACTGCCCGGGTAAAAGATAGAAATGTCTCATCAAAGACAAAATACCAAAATGCCGCGTTTTTCTCAATTCTCGGTTTATTGGGTTTTCTGTTGGTGTTTGTTGTTTCTTAATGCTGGTATCGGTATATTTGTTATTTTGCTGGGATTTTTAAATCTTTAATTTTCTATTTTTAGGGGGGAGGGGGAAGGGGTAAGGGGGGGGGGGGTTGATAGTCTGTAGGTAACATCAAATAACTTGTATGAAAGTTACCCCTTAGAAAAAAAATCCTTAACGCTGAGCATTACAGTGCGTACGCATTTCAAGCCTGTTTTTGAAATGTTGTATCTGACGTGCAAGAGAGTTGTCGGTAGGCTTTGTGGTACGGCTTGTACCGTCAGATATACTTCACCACGTCAACGTGTTCCATGTCCCTGACGAAAAAAAAGTCGTTATCGAGCTATCCCTCCGAGACAACGTAACGCTATACCAACCAAAGTGCCATGAACTTAGTTGGCGTTATTCTGGTACTACATGGCATCTACTCTGACTCAAGAGTCAAACGGAAAATTCTTGCTTTACTTTATTTATTTTTTGGCAATTCTTGTTTCTCTTCTGGACCGATCGTTCCGCGATTAGAACATTAATTTATATAATCAATTCAGAGATCCTGACTCGGGCGTTACCATATCAAATTTTCAGTTTGACTCTTGAGTCAGTAGATGCGATGTAGTACCAGAATAACGCCAACTAAGCTCATGGCGCTTTGGTTGGCATATCGTTACGTTGTCTCGGAGCCAGGGGCGAAGGCTGACTTGTTTGACAGGGTAATCAAAGCGAGAAGGTAACAATATGATGATAACAAACTTGACTGGCATTCCCACGCTGCTCTTGTGCATAAAAAAATAAATCAAAGAATGTTTCTTTTAAGGAAATTAAGAAGTTTCCGTGTTGACAATAAGATTAAGTCCCTTTTTCCCCACTCTATGATTGAAAGTGCTATTATTTTGTATTTGCTGCTGGGGTGGGAATTGTAAGGTGAAAGATAAAGAAAAAATCGACAGAACCATTAAGAAAGCCAGCAAGATCTCTGGATATGATTTTAATAGAATGGATGAAATGTATAACACCACACGTATAAAAAAGATGAAAGCATTATAAACGACCCATCACATCCCTTTTCCACACTTATTGTAAGATCACGAAGCGGCAGATATGTACCTCCAAAAACAAAGAAAGATATAAAAGAGTTTTTTACCATCTAGCATAAGGTTTTTGTCAGAATGAGCATAGATGTGTGTTTCTCTAAAAGTATGTATCTATATATAACTCCAAAGGTCCTGTATTTAAATTTCTGCATGTGGTTGAATGATACATTTGATGTAAATGTACATTTTGTCAGCTTTACTTCTCTTTTCAGATTGGATTTTAATGAGAAAAATATATAATTAAAATTTCTTATGTATACCTGCATATGTTTTTACGGTCCTGTACAGCCAAGGAAAATTTACCTCTGGGATAATAAAGTACTATCTTATCTTATCTCTTACTTATCTTATTGCATAGGACGTTGAATTGAAACCCACACCATTCAGACTCAGCTGTTTGTTCACTCTAGGAACGCCAGATCAGACCAGACCATCAATAATCTATTTATAGAGGCACCAGCCATCCATCATGTCTAAGTTCTGTTTTAGTCTCTTTCTCCTGTCTGTTAATCCATCATTATTTTTTTCCTATTTTAGATTCTAACTTTATGCACCATGTATCTATGATTTTTAACCTGGAATCTGCCTATGATTCCTAGGAACGCTAACAGAAAAAGCTCAATACGTTTCGAACACTTGGACTCAGACAACCGTGCGAGAAAAACAAGTTCTTGGGGGACGCCCATGCCTTCCCTCAGCTTTTCCCGGCGCGTCAGCTCCTTCTTGGACTCCAACGTACGAGTGAAGAATGTTGTTCCTAACACGTACAGAATGGAGCCCCTTCCCGGACAGACGTTTTCTGCAGGAACGGTAAGCTCACAAAAGCGATGTCCAACGAACCCAACCTATTTTCTTTTTACGACACTAATTGCAAAACAATTAGGTCATATAAGTGTCGAGGGTTACTGGAGTTACAAGAGAGTAACTACAGACACAAAAAAGGAGGAGATATAAGGACGAGTACTATCTTATCTTTCTCTTATCTTACTGGAAAGGATGTTGAATTGGAATATTGTTTGAGAGGAAAGAAGGAGTACTTTACTCCAGAGCACCCACCAACCACCCACTAACCAACTCTTGATCAAAATGTAGCCATTTCGCAGTAAAATGATAACAATAGTCATCTTCAGTGTTTCTGTTTTCTTTGTTGCCGCAGAAAGTTGAACAGGTAGTAGCCTATGATAACTGGGGGTCAAATTAGTTTGGGCTTTTTTATAGCCTGTGTCTACCTGTTGGTTTCGTTTGGCAATTGGGACAGGAAGTGTATGGGTGTGTGCATGTGTGCGAGTGTATGCATAATGTTTGGCAACTTGGAAACACATGTGCCACTTTTCCCACAAAAACACGACAACTGCACAGTTAAAAGTTGGCAAGTACCTGCAAAAAGATAGATAGGTCCCCATTTCGGAGCCCGATTTTTTATTTATTCATTTCCTGAATTTAGAAAAACACATTTGACAAAAGTTCCGGTCTTTCTTTGGCCTTTGTGATTATTCCACTCAGAAACGAAACAAATCTGCGTAGCTTTTCTCCTCAGCGGAAGTGCCGGAGGCGATATTTCGCGAGGCGCATTTTGTTTTGAGAGTATAAATCTAGACCTAATTTTTTGCATCTCTCAAGATTTTTTGCTCCATTCCGGAAGAGTGTAAATATAGTAGG